AGGTGAGCAAGTGTGTTTAATTTGACGCCACCTTGAACAGTGTTACAGTTATATTACGGCGTGACTGACTGACTGACTGAGTATGGTTTTACGCCGCGTTTAGCAATATTCCAGCAATATCACGGCGGGGGACACCAGAAATGGGCTTCACACAATGTACCCATGTCTGGAATCGAGCCCGGGTCTTCGGCTTGACGAGCGAACGCTTTAACCACTAGGCTACCCCAACGCCCCCCAATGTAGGTCTTAGTTTACCTCTTTGGTGAAACCCATGAGCACGGTCATGGTGCTGACAGACCTATCCACAAAAATAGTACTAATTTGGGATTCGAACCACGATCAGGTTTATCGCACGTCTGAGCGCAACCCTGCACAGATTTCCCCCTTAAAACCTGACATTATTCATAGTTATATTAGCAGTTAAACTTGGTTCCACGATCCGATAAATATGCAAATAAGGAACTACTTTTTGCTTAATACATCGGTGCAATGTCTGCTTCATCATTCAATTATTGTCTGATGCATCGCCCCGAGGCAAGGGAGTTAACTGACTGTTAAAGTCCAGTTTTCACCCTTGACGAACTTGGCTGGAATTATAGGGATATAGAAGGGACATAAATCGCAATCGCAACTGGTGGCGCTACGATCGAGCCCAGAAATTCCAGTCTAGTTCGGCAAGGTTGGAAACTGGACCTTTATAGTCAGTTAACTCCCTTGCTTCGGGAAGATGTGTCTGATGTTCCAAAATACGTTCCGAGTTTGGTTTCCCCGATATGTTGGTGTTTCTGGGGCAAATGTGTGATTATAAATCATATGGTAAATCGGGCGTTTTCACTCAAACATTATATATATATATATATATATATTATAAAGTTAGTTCACTGAATAAAAATACGTGTTGATTAAAGATACGGAAATACACGAGATAATACTCTATTTGTATAAAAAATGTCATTCTTTAAATAATTGATGTAATACCATACGAGGGTTTGTTTGATATGTCCAAGCCTCACGTAGTACGAATTGACCTGAAGACATTATTAAGAGTGAGTGAGTTAATGAGTTAGGTTTAACGCCGCTTTAAACAGTATTCCAGTTATATCACGGCGTGTTAGCTTAATGTGTGAGGAAAGCCCGAAGTGATGCAGGTCTGAAACGTGAACCACTTCGGTTAAACCCACGAGCACGGGTATGGTGCTGACAAACCTAGAAACATAATCGGGGCGAACCGGGATTCGAACCCACAATCATAGGTTTCTGGCGTGCCAAAGAAACGCAACTCTGCACAACTAAACAGGGGCGCCTTAGACGACTGGGCCACCCGTGGATCTCTCTGGATTAATTTTGGTTTTGCTGACGTTTCAGGCCTTCCAGGACGGAGGTCATCTACAAAGCTCTTCCTGCCACAGTTAAACACTACTGACCACCACCTAACAGTGACATAGGAAGGGGCCAGGGGTACTCTAGGCTGTTGGTCTGAAAATACTTGATCACTGCATGCTCCTCAAGTTTGTCCATTTTCCAAAGGTCACAGACATAATAATAATAATAGTAATAATAATAATAATAATAATAATAATATTAATAATAATAATACACTGTAATATGGATAATGTACATTAAATATATATTTACCTCTCATGTATATAATTATATTTACTCCAAAAAATGTAGCTAGCTTGTACCCGGCTCTTTGAGTGTGTTCTGTCCATGTGAGGCCCAGAACTTCAAAATCAACCCTCGTATATTAGGAATAAATGTATGTACTCCTTACATATGAGATTGGCGATACGAAACACACTGGACTACTAATCTCTATCTATGTAAAACAACGCAGTGAGGTGACGTCAATGAAGTTGATTGTACGTAAAGAATATATTACTTTATGCTATAGATAATACCAACACCGTAATCAGTACTGAAACTGTGTTTGGGTCATGAAAGCTGAGTGCGGTCAGTGTGATGAAAACGCACAAGGTTTCTCCAACAGAATGAGGTTCAGGCTAGTGTGATTTACCTTCACAAGACTATGGACAAACAGGTCGATGTTAGTTGGTTAAACCACACTGAACTCAGTGGGGAATGGATAGATGATGATCTTTTGGGCGATATTAGATTTGAGCCTCAACGTGGATTTTACTAACGCTTCCCTATTTGAATTGCCTCTGTTTTCACATCATTCCTTGCGGTGCCGTTTTAATCACCTCGGACATCTGAAAGACTTGGTCCCGTACAGCTTGAGGCCACTCATTACTAAATGCACACGATCCGTGAAGATCCGGGGTAGAAAAGGTCTTCAGCAACCCATGCTTACCGTAAGAGGCAGCTGTGCTTGTCGTAGGAGGCGACTAAAGGGATCGGGGGGTCAGGCTAGCTGACTTTGTTGATGCATGTCATCGTATCCAAATTGGGATGCTCAAGATGTCAATCACTGGATTGTCTGGACCAGACTAGATTTTTTGCAGACCACCGTCATATAGCTGGAATATTGCAGCGTTAAACAACAAACAAACAAATTTAATGCATACATATTTACATGAACGTTGATTCACTGAACAACTCATGAATATAAACACTGCTCATTTATCTTTCCGTTCTTTAAGCGTGTAATTGTTGAGGGTACCATTCGCTGGCTCCATTCCTCTTCCCTCTTCTTCCCTGATCTGTTCTGCTCCGCTCACCAACGCCGCTCCATTCAACAACACCTCTCCATTCCACTCCACTGCACCGTTCTACTAAACTACGTCGTTCCATTCCACTTCACTCAACTATACGCCTCTCTGCTCCTCTCCCCTCACTACACCTCTCCATTCCACTCCACTGCACCGTTCTACTAAACTACGTCGTTCCATTCCACTTCACTCGACTATACGCCTCTCCGCTCCTCTCCCCTCACTACACCTCTCCATTCCACTCCACTGCACCGTTCTACTAAACTACGTCGTTCCATTCCACTTCACTCAACTATACGCCTCTCCGCTACGCTCCTCTCCCCTCCACTACACCTCTCCATTCCACTCCGCTGCAACGTTCTACTCAACTATGTCGTTCCATTCCACTTCACTCAACTATACACCGCTCCCTTCAGCTGCACTAAACGAAGATGCTCCGCTCCGTTTGCCTCAAAGTTCAATGCCGCTCCACTCAGCTTCGCCGCTCATCCTTTTCTCCGTCGCTTTATTCCGCTTCCCTCAAATACGCCGCTCAACCCCACCGCTGGATTGCAGTAAAAAGACAATGTGTTTAGGTGAGCAAGTGTGTTTAATTTGACGCCACCTTGAACAGTGTTACAGTTATATTACGGCGTGACTGACTGACTGACTGAGTATGGTTTTACGCCGCGTTTAGCAATATTCCAGCAATATCACGGCGGGGGACACCAGAAATGGGCTGCACACATTGTACCCATGTCTGGAATCGAACCCGGGTCTTCGGCGTGGCGAGCGAACGCTTTAACCACTAGGCTACCCGACCGCCCCATATCACGGCGTGTCATCTTGATGTGGAAACAAACCCCGAAGTAACGCCCATGATGAAACCCACGACCTGGGGTAGGGTGTTGACGAACTGACAAACTTAAACAAAGCGATTCTGGGATTCCGACCCTCGATCATTTGTTTCCCGCACATCAGGGACGCAACTCTGCACAGCTCCTCACTCCGTTCTGATCTTCCGTGACCCGTGACGATCCGGGGTAGAATAGGTCTTCAGCGACCCATGCTTGCCGTAAAAGGCGACTATGCTTGTCGTAAGATTCCAATAACGAGATAGGGTGCATGGCCAGGCTCACTGACTTGGTTGATGCATGTCGTCGTATCTCAATCGCGTAGATCGATGCTCATGATGTCAATCACTGGATTGTCTTGTCCAGACTGGATTATTTACAGACCGACGTCATATAGCTGGAATACTGCTGAGTGCAAACAAACAAACAATCTGATATCTCGTGATGAATGACCACTTGTTACGCATAAACGTATAATGGAAAGACTAATTAATCGTTTATCGTAACTTCATGCGCTTGTAGAAATGGTCGATATTAATTATGGACACGTGTGACCTTAAGGTTAAGCGTTAGCGCCTCTTACAGACCCTCAGAGGATACATACACATTTTTAATATAAACATTTTAGGGGACAGGGCGAACCGCCTGAAATATGTGCCCCACCAACAACACTCCTGTCTGGCGCCCGGCATTAAGGGGCTAAAACAAGACTAGTCGTCTCGGAGTCAGGACACTGCGTCTGAGTGGTGTATTCATGTTAAACTGCGGCATGGTATCTCAGTGAGCTAGCGCTATAAATCAGCATCAGTCCGGACTGGTACAAGCAGCCACACACACACGTACATGCACGTCGCTATATAAGTGCAATGATCTTGGACGCGACGTTAAACCCAATTTCACCTCAACCTCTGATGTGCAGATGTATACTTGTAGTATCATGAAACGTATTCGAGATTCGTTATCATGATTCGTGTAAAATAAAACACAACATTCATTCGTTCTTACCTCAATATACAGCGAAGTTGTGCAGTCTGCCATGAAACAAATATATTCAATACAGCCCATGAAAGTCTATAATAGGGGGCAAGTCTAGATTACTGCAGTTTTAAAGAGAATCTCTGGGCTCCTTTTTATTATATTTCGTTAAGATAATCTAATGACTTTTTTTCTGTAAAATATGTTCATTTAAGAGACTAGATCATAGCCTACGAAGTTGTGGTAGTAGTATTATAAGTAACGAATGGTGCAGTCAGAATGACAATGTTGTGGCGAAGGCAATGCTGATCGCGTAGCTATAGACCTTTTGCGTGCAATATATACCTATATACAACTTACCCCCGACAAAGCTCACTAAAATAAACGTTTTATGGCTTTAGTAGCTGAAGCAAGAAGATCCTACCACTGAACTCCTTGCTCCTCGGAACTTCAACACTACAAACCGAAACCGTCTCAACTGACAAAACCAGTTTCACAAAACCGGTTCACGTTTTATAGCCGCTGTTCTACCGCCCTCGGGAAGGAATAGAATCAGCTTGAGCGAGTTGTCAGTAGCCTTTGTTTTGGTGAGTTTCCGATTGGCTTGTTTTCATTTGTGGAGATTTTATCAGTTGTTTAGCTGGCCTCGAGGCTTCAGAAGACAGCGAATACCACAGAAATAGCTCGATCCGGTCGCAGTTGGGCTTGTTATGCCGAAGGATCGGCTTCGCCTCAAATCAAGCGCAGAAAACGACGGACCGCCGGCCTCTTGACCACGGGGAAATTACACCTGTGTTTTGCACCTGGTAAAATGCGGTGTGACAGACAAATGTGTCAGTGAGTGGCTGGTGGAGTACAGAAGACGATATCGAAATCCAGGGCAAGATTTGTAAATGACCTGGATTTTTACTGACCCAAACCGAACTACAAAATAAAACAACGCAGGCACAGAAGGGGATCGAGTCACGAGGTATAAGAGCGATCAGATATTTCTTTCAAAATGGAAGGGCTACGTTGTTCATGGCTCGTGAGGACTACAGTCGTCATATCGCTCGTGCTCGGAGACGTCACGGGCACCTACGCAACGATGAGTACAGCATTCTATGCCGATAATGACTTACAACAGACGGTGCTTGTAACAAGATTACCCGGCAGAGAAAAACGGGAAATGCAACAAGAAATATTAACACTACTCGGCCTTCACCAGAAACCGAAACCCAAGACTCACGGCAAAGGAGACTCTGCTCCTAAATTTATGATTGATTTGTATGAAAAACTTAAAAACGAAGATGGGGAAATTATGGATGATGATACCGTGTTTCGGAGGAACGCTTCTATCGGATTAAACCCAGATTTACTGGATGGTTCGGACGTCATTATGAGTTTTGTCAATCACGGTAAGTGTACACTCTGTAATCGCGTCTCGTTAATCCAGTGTCAATATTTACCTGTGTGCTATTTCTATTCTCTGCATGATGGTTAAAGCGATGTTATTCCCTTTACTCTATATTCCCCGTGGATGTGGAATTATTCTGTGCAATATTCTCACTTGATTTGCATGCTACGTTATGGCAATGATGTAGGTGCTGGTTGTAGATAGGTTGAATGGATTTTTTAAAATACTCATTACATAACAAATGTTGGTAATATAGTCATACTAATTAGGTTTTTTTTAACGTTGTTTTCTAATACATTACATAAACGTTTTATATATTATGCACAGGCTGTTCTCTTTCCGACTTGTCTACCACATATGTCGACAGAAACAGACATGTGATATTTTTTGCTCCCCAGATCAGTGTTATCTGGGCTGTTTCATTCACGAGGGCCGTTAATCGAATGAGATGTTGCTATTTTCTGAACGCGTGGAAAACAGACGTTAATATTTCATGACGGTTATCAGCTGACGAATACATGTTTGTTTTCCCTACATCAGAGATAACATCGTTTATAAAAGATATGAATGTCTTAACCGTAAGAATGGCAGAATAAATAATCAGACGTATTTGTGACTGTCATGAAAATAGGAGCTTTCGTTATGTACATCATTAATATTTGACTTGTATCCTACTCCCAAGGACGATGTCATGGTTGTTAAGGGACGCGATTGCGTTCAAACACGTGCTTGCATTGAGGCGTGAATAAGACGCGGTTTAATATGTTTTCGTTTAAATTATTATCATTATGATTAGCTACAAAATGTGTGTCTGTCTATATATATATATATATGTATATATGTATGAATGTATATGTATATATATTAGGTGTATAAGTATTAAGTATACACAAAAAACTCCTTTGTCCACACATGATCTTTCGCCGTTCAACAGCTCTTCAGGTGCATATATGTACTTCCAAGAAAAAAATCAAAGACTGTTGGATTTTTCCACGCCCGAAATTGAAGGCAACTTATCTCGAGTGTTGCATTTAGTGGCTCTTTCTGTTCAAAACGAGTTGTCACCAATCAGTCGGTTTATGAACAAGTACACACCTTGGATTGATAAATGACAGATGCGACTACTCTTCCAATGAATAAACATTTTAGAGCAACTATGGTGCTAAAATCTAATTGTCCACCATCAAACACAATGAGACAGCATGACCTTGCCCTGTTAGTAGATCAAGTACGGTGAAACAAACCCATGTTAGATACTGTTCGCATCAAGTCATTGAACACGATGAGACATGGACGTTAGATCGAAGATGATGTTACCGTGCTACTTGGCTGTAGAATAGTAATCTTATCTTAACGAATTCAACAAGCAAAACTGTTTTCAGCTGCCACACAGTTACAATACGTTGAATGGAGATCACAATTTACCTGCTGCTGCTGCTGCTAATATATGCAGCATTTAGTACCAATTCAAAAACAATGTTTTAGAACCAAAGACCTTTATAGCAGGCTGCTTAAATTATAAGAATCAGTGCTCTACTGAATATTGTTGTAGGGGTTTTGTAGTCTGTCTGACCCCAGGGCGTATATTATTAACACACACACACACACACACCTCTCTCTCTCCCCCCCCCCCCCCCCCCCCCCCACACACACACACACACACACACCCATATTCCAGTTGCCATTCTCATTCGCAGCTCCCCCGAAAGCAGCCTCTAAGATACTTGAGGGTTCCTCTATGGAATTGTTTTCAATTAACCATTTCCATAACTTATTTCGGGACTATGTGTTAGGGTAGGTTTGATGTTGGTTTGTGTGTTATCGGGTACGTTGCTGCCGTGTGTGAACAGTTTACAACGTGACACTGTAGTGTTTCCAGCCAGTAAGCCCCTTGACTCATCAAGTCCCAGGGCGTGAGATTGTAATAACAGTATTACCACGTTTTGAAGGGTGTCTAATGCTCACTGACAGGGTGAGTTATGGACAGTAAAAAAAGGCTTATGTTGTCACTATGTACCTCCTTAATCAGCTCCTTCTATAACAGTCAATCTACACTCGTCTACACCCCGAAGGGAAGTCTCCCTGAACTTCATTAAGCACATGTGGTATAAATTGTCCCCAAACTCAAGTCGGGCTTGTAGCCTTTTCATCGCCTACAAACCTTTATGTGGCGACCGTGCGTGTGTTTGTATGGTAAGCTGTAGGTTAAACATGGCTTGTTCTCCGTCACTGAGAGGCGGGTCACGGCTCAATGGGAATACTACCTTTCTGATCTCAGCCACTTCATGCTCTATTGAGTTTCAAGAACGCATTGAAAGTAAATATTATTTAAACTACCTCTTGGAAGTGCATTAGCCTCTAGGGGGCGTTGTGTAGACAGTATTTTTTATGGGCCGTCTCGAAAAGGAGACTTTTGAAATGTCGGTTATGAATATTCATAAGATTGTAGGAGTAGTCCCTGTGACCCCGGTAGAGTTTCTTAATAATGAGGTATACCGAGCTGCGCCGGGGGTCAGGATCAGCAGCTTTACCGTCTTGGTACTGGGGTTCTCCCGTTGAGTAACACCTTACAGGGGATGATTACAGAAAATCGTGGCTGTAACACAAATAAAAATATTTTTTATTGACTCTCAGGATAGAACAGGTCTTCAGCAACCTATGTGTCGTAAAAGGCGACTATGCTTGTCGTAAGAGCTAGGCGACTAACGGGATCGGGTGGTCCGGCTCGCTGACTTGGTTGATATGAAGCATGTCATCGTATCCCAATTGGGTGGATCGATGCTCCTGATGTCAATCATTGAGTTGTCAGTTCCAGACTCGATTATTTACAGACTGCCGTCATGTAGCGGGAATATTGCTGAGTTCGGCATTAACTAACAAACAAACAAAAGCCTTCGGCCGCGTAGGATACATGGGTTTATAAAAATAATTTTATTTGTGTGCAACTACGAATTCCCGTGGTGTGATCTATATGCTGTGCTATGCACTGACTTCACTGAATGTGTCTTGTCTAATCCCACAGTACAGACACGCTTTACGATTAAGCTACAAAATATGCGACTATGCTTCAAAGACTTCCTTCACCACCGCGTCATACCTAGACTAACATTTAGTCTCTGAAATCTTATATTACACAATATCCTTCTTGACTCTAAAAATATTTAAAAAATCCCTATGCTGGTTGTGGAATAGAGATAGCTTGAGCTGGCTAGACTTGCTTTTGTATGCATTTCTAGATTATTATTTTTTCATAAAATAAATATATTTCATAAAATAAATATATTCCACGGTCATGGTGCAGGACTACGTCATACCTAACGTGAAGGGTGACTTCTTGTTATCTGCATGGCGTTCGGCATTAAGGGGATAAAACAAGGACCGGTCGGCTGGGAGTCAGTTTACTGTGTCTGAGTGGTGTATCCGTGTTTAACTTCGGCGTGGTATCTCAGTGACCTGGCATAATAAAACCGACTGATATAAGCAGAATCACGCATCAGCCGATGTACGTCGCTGTGTATGTACAATAATATTGAAACACACGTTAATCCTCGTTTCTACCACTGTCCGGGTGCCATGTCAAAATAGGTTCCCCAGTACCCCATGCTTTGTGAGGGTGAGTTAAAATTCAACGTCGCATCGGCTTTATTTCAGCCATATAGCGACGAGACCAAGTTAATATATTCACAGTTTAGTTATTTATGCAAAGTTATATTTAAAAACAAGTTATGAAACATATTTGAGCATACTATATTTAAACACAATTTATGAAACCTGTTTGGGCATAACACTATCATTAATACATTTTAAAACACGGGCTATAGGCCACAGTAACAAAAGCCAGGCAACCTCGCTCATTGTGGCGAAAGAGGATCGGGTGGTCAGGCTGGATGACTTGGTCGATAGGCTGCCGTCGTACCCCGACCACGCGGATCTTTGCTCACAATATCAGTCACTGGAATTTCTAGTCCAGACTCGATTATTTACAGTCCGTCTTCATATCGCGAGTGCAGCGTTAAACAACAAAACAACAACGAACGCCATAATATGGCCCGAGCATTGCTGAGGCGTAAACGTTCATTCACTCACTCTTTATCTTAATATTAACGTTTTCAGCAAACTTTAATGTTCCGTGCCTTTTCTTAAGTAATTTATTCCTTCATTTATGATATTGTACAGCATAATCACCTCAATAATGTCATTAGTGAGTTATTGAGTGGATGTTTTTGCGCGCAGCTAACATATCCAGCCTCATCACTTAGCAACCCACCCTTGCCGTAAAAGGCGACTATGCTTGTCGTAAGAGGCGACTAACGGGATCGGGTGGTCAGGCTCGCTGACTTGGTTGCTGCATGTCTTCGTATCCCAATTGCGTGGTTCGACGCGCATGATGTCAGTACCTGGATTGTCTGGTCCAGATTCGATTATTTACAGACCGCCGTCATACAGCTGGAATATTGGTGAGTGCGGTGTTAAACAACAAAACGACAAACAACAGACAAACTGTATAGATAAATTAGTTGTATATGGTAATATATGCTTGTCTAAGAACCGACTAAAGGTGGTTGGGTGGTCAGATTCTGTGACCTGGCTGCTTGTATACCATCATACCCCGATGGCGTGGATTGTTTCCCATGCTTTCAGTCACCGGTTTATTTCATCCAGATTATATTACAGTAAACTACGGTTATAACGAACACGCTTATAACGAACTGACGGATATAACGAACTTACTTTTTTTGGTCCCGACTATTTACTGTTGTTATTCTGTATATATGCTTATAACGAACTACGGTTATAACGAACTAAAATTAGTAGTCCCTTTGAGTTCGTTATAACCGTACTTTACTGTATTAAAGTCGCGCTGCCATGTAGCCTGAGCATTAACTTTCATTTATACGGTAAAGAAATACATTTCACGTTTAATCTATATTTTTTCACAGACTAACCTTCTGTCGTTTATGTCAGGAAAACAGAAAAAAATAGATCAAACGTTTTCTAAAT